GAATTACGAGTATGAAAAATCTTAAACTTACCTCGTTGCGTAGAGTATGAACCTCATTCTACAACGATGCTACCATCTCACGTAGAGCTGCTACCTCACCGCGTAATGTAGACACCTCAACACGCCATGCACCATCGTCTTTGCGTAAAGTACCGACCTCCTCACGCAAGGTATTGACCTCATCACGTAACTCCCCTAACTCATCCCGTTGAGGTGGAGGTGGAGAACAGGGAGATAAACGTCGTGGCATCTTTGCCGGTCGCCTATCTTGCGGTGATGGTGGAGAAGAGGCTCGATGATGTGACAGAATAGGTGATGGTTGTCGTTGTGGAGGTGTATAGTCGGGTCGATCAGATGATGGCTCTGGGTGAGGTGATAGCTTTGGGCGAGGTGATGGCTCCCGAAGTGGAGGCTGCTCATCAACCGTTCTATCAAAAAAACGCTTACTAGCTTGCCACCAATCAGTGGCAAGCTCAGCTTCCGTGGGTGTCAGCCTCTGTAGAGGAGTGTTGGCCTCCTAACAATATAAAAGCTCAAACAAAGTTAAACGTGTACTAGTAATAACTTGTTTATAAACATATGGTAGTATTTATGTTAACTTACATTATTTATTGTCGTATACCGTAGTAAATCTTCCCATTGCAAGGTCCGTTTTCTCTTCCAGGAAATAGCCCTGGGAATATCATTTGAAGTTTTTATTGCATATGTCTTCATGGCGGGAAAGGCCTCAAATATCCAAATCTACAAACAATATAATAACAAACATTAGTAATTGTTAAATAATTACTTATAATTTTGGAAACATTATATAAAAATTCTTACCTTAAAGGCCCAAATAAAGCATGTCAAAGTGTATTTGGAACCATCGCCATGCAAACTTTTTCGATCATCCAAGGCAGACGATAACTTATTTCATGTAGCTTTCCATAAATACGAGCCCCATGGAAACAGGTTCCACGCATTTAGGCCTTCTACCAATTTGATTAGATCATTTGGAATAGGTTGTCTGGCCTCTCTGCCTAAAAAGCCGGCATGCAAAAGAATTAGAAGGCATACTCAGACAACGTCGACGTCATCCATCCGAGTAAAACCATCTTTCTTATTCAACAATCTTGTCAGGTCTTCTACGTGTAGATTCGGCCTCTCCAGCTCAAGAAAAACCCGGGATAGACATGATGGGCGGGTAATGTGTCTAGTGTACCGACCTACATCATCGTGTCCGAAGCGTAGACCGGTGATTAAGCAAAACTCCTCCCGCCCAAAACACGTATACGCCGGTGGAAAATCAAACCATATCTCTTCATCACGACGTTGTATAGTCTATGGTAGATCGCTAGTCATGGTTTGAAGAAACAGGTGTGTCAACATCGCATCTCCACCGGGATGTTGTACTTTCAGCCATGGCCCGAAGCATGTATCCTCAAACATTTTTCTTTGTGCAGGTGAAAGCTTCGACGCAATTGTTTTGGCCAGGCTGACTTTATTTCTTAAGGTCAATTGAGCCGAATAAAAGTTCTACAAAAACAATAAACATACTAAGTTAGATATACCAAAAACTACACTGTGAAGATATACCAAAAACAATAATAAACATAAAGAGTAGTAGTTTATTCTTCAAACTTAAATTTGCAACACTGTGAATTTCGTATTTGTCTTTATTTTTTGGTTGAAGTAATGCAATTCATTCAAGTTTCAATTTGCAGAAGAAGAATAGTTTTTGAAAATGAAAATCGCAACACGAAAATGACTATCGCAACGCGAATTTGACTATCGCAACGCGAAACTAAAATCGCGTTGCGATTTGCATTTCGCGTTGCGATTCTCGGTTGATTTAATAAGAAATCTAAGTGAAATGGTTAATCTATTATTGAAATTACCAATAAACTTATCATCAATTTCAATATGAAAAACCTAATAATAATGCAAAAATTTCAAAAAGAAAATAATTAAAAAAACTAACCCTCGTTGGTTGATTTGGTTGATTTTCCATTTCTGATTGTGAGGGTGGCTCTGAGAGATGGAGATAGACGGATTTCGCCGGAGATGGGGACGAATTTCGTCGGAGATGGGTGAGAGAGTGAGAGATGGAGATGGGACTGAGTTGTGATTTTAGGTTTTAGGTTCTGAGTTGCGATTACGGGATATACTGTGGACGGTTCAGTGTTCCAATATATTAATATTCGTGTTTGGAATTTAAAAATAAAATACTTGGCCAGGATACTAATGGCGCTTTGAAAATCGCATTGCGATTATGTATTATCGCGTTGCGAAAGTCAGAATCGCGTTGCGAAAGTCAGTATCTCGTTGCGATTTTGTATTATCGCATTGCGATAGTAAGTATCGCATTGCGATAGTCAGTATCGCATTGCGATTTTCCCAATTCGCGATGCGATTTACTTATTTGCATTGCGAATTGGGAAAATCGCAACGACACTGTAGACCATCGCAACGCGAAATGCAACGCGAATTTACGATAATGGAGATCGCGTTGCGAATTAGCGATCGCATTGCGATTTTGTTGGTCATTTTGGCAAATCCGAAAAAAGTTGGTTAAAATCATATATTATATGAGAATTTTGGTCACTGAGACGATTTTCTCTATTTAAAAAAATTACTAATAAATACCAAAATATTAAAAGTGAAATTAAAAAACCCTATAATTTTATTTCTTATACTTATAGATCAAACCTCAACATACCTTAAACTTCATCCTTAACCTCACAGTTTCATGTAATAACATTTTTTTAAAAAGAAAATCATCCTAGTAATTGTACTTTTAGTTGCTGATAATTTTGGTGTTCATCATAATATTCACACTATTCCCTAAATATATTTTTGGAACCAGTGTTTTCTAAAATTCCATTTTAAACCCAACATTTCACTAATTTAACCTCTTTTCAAGGATAAGAAGTTTTATTATATTGTTATTATTATTATTATTATTATTGTTATTATTATTTTTATTGTTATTATTATTATTATTGTTATTGTTATTATTGTTATTATTGTTTTTGTTGTTATTGTTATTATTTACTTGTCAGAATAGTGATACCAGCAAAAACAATAATAACCTTTGACCCAATTTCAGGGCCCTTCTTCCCTGAAAAAAAAGGAGTATGTTGATCTGTATTAACTAGTATCAACTTCTTCTGGTCCTAAAACCAAGTGGATACAAGGTTTTGAACAAAAAGTAAAAAAGAGCGTGAAATATATTATAAATATGGTGAACATGTATTCAATTCTCCACGTGCTCCATTGTTTTCGTATACATGTCATGTGTGGATCGAAGGGACGGATGAGATAGTAGTATCTTTGTAAATTTTAAATTAATATATATTTTATATATTTTATTTATATTATTTTCGTCCCCTAAAATTTTATAAATTCGTATCTTCTTAAAATTTTAAAAATTTATCCTCAAAGATCCTGCATCTTTTTATATATACTACTACAATATTTATCAGCCATGTATTGTACCCTGAACCTAACATATTTGACTATTGCGACAATCACATGTGAACCTAGTACATTGTGTATGGTTGTTTTCGAAGAAAAGAATCAAAGATTCAAGACCAGCATTAAAGAGGGCGTAAGATATTATATCAAGGCACATACTTTTAAAATTAAAAAAAAATAGTTATTTTTTAAAATTTAGAATTTTTTTCAAAAATTAATTATACGTATTCATAAATTATAATTTTGATTTTAAACTTTAAAATGTTCTAATTACATCAAAATTATTAGTGCATATAAATTAAACAAATTACTAATACCTGTTTAATTGATATGCATATCAATTTCGATTGGTACTAATTATTCGTAAAGGGTCAAAGATTGATTTAAATTATGTGAATATTATTTTCGTTTCATTAAAATTATTCTTTTTTTTATTTTTTAATGTTTAGTTTTTTTTTTCATTTTGATTATAATTATTTTAAATAACTAAACTTTATAAAATTTATTTAAAATTTATTTGATTAAAAGTTTTAAAAATATTTTTTATATTTTTGTCAATAAGAAATTTTAAAAAATAAGAATTTAAATTTGAAAAAATAGAAAAAAAGACGATAAGAACAATTCAAAAATATAAAGGGAGTATTAGGGTTTAGCTTTTAGAACAAAAAAGGGAACTGAAAATTTTATTTTATTTTAGTACTTAAACTTTCATTTGTTTCAAAAGAATGCCTAACATTTACTTTTTATTTTGTTTTGGTATCTCGCCGTTAAAAACTTAGCGAAAATGTTACAACCTAACTTTTTATGGGTAAATTACATCATTCATCACTCAACTATCTTCTCACTCCTATTTTGGTGACTAAAGTTTATTTTTTAGTTTAATTATTTAACTTTCAAATTACTCCTAATTTAATCACTCTAACTTTCAAATTTAATTTTTTTATTTTAATAATGTATTAATAAAATAGTAATAAAAATGTAATATAACAAATTTTTTAGTAAAATAAATTAGAGATAGTAAAACATGAGTAATTTGAAAGTTGAGTAGTTAAATTAAAATTTTTAAACTTTAGTGACCAAAATAGAAGTGAGAAAATAGTTAAGTGATGAATTATGTAATTTATCCATAAATAATATAAAAAAAGTAAAAGAAAGTACAACCTATTAAATCACCGAGATGGCTTAGTTTGTACAATAAAATAATTTAAAATATTAATGCGTAGGACAAAATAGAACAAAGACAATAATTAAGCTATTCATTAAATTAAAAAAACTAGCAAAAACACACATTAAAGCAGAATTTAACAAATATTTGTTAATGGAGAAAAAAAAAAGGAAGTCGAAACTAATGCTTCAACAATAACACATGAAACTAAAAGAAATTAGATAACTTTTAATAGTATAAGGTTCTTCACTGCTACGTTAAAACTCTTAGTCTCAGACTTGGCCCCTATGGTCACAAAATGGTGAAGTTAAAGTCAATTCCCGAACCTATAATGGTGCGCTCTTGACTTCTTCGATAACCCTTTCGATATGATCTGCGGTTAAGCATTGTTGCACATTACCGCAGTTCTGATCCTTTCGACCGTGCATTTTATTAGACTGTTGACGGTAGCCACCGATCCAAGAGAAAGCTTCGCTGTCGGAACTGAATCAACTAAAATCTGGAAGGCAACGGTAAGGAGAGAGCCACCGGAGCCGATTTCTTGAATTCCTCCTCCGCTATGCCCCTGACCGTCTGGAAGGATTGCGAAACCGGATGGCAATAGCGCTGCGTAATCCGGGTCCCCGCCGCTTAGGACGACATTCATCGCGAGGATATCGACCGGGGCATAAATCACATAGGACCCTGTTGCATCAGTGCAGCTCTCTTGAAGTATCAGCATGTTGCTTTGGCTAGAGTTTGCACTCTGCAGATTGGAAATGTTGAGTTAATGTTGAAGTACCAATATGTTTTGGTCCATAGATTTTATAAATTCGTCCCTCCTTAAAATTTTAGAAATTTGTCTCCTAACATAGAATTCTATGTTGGTCCTTATATTTAACTTGTCAACTTACATTTACGCGCAGTAAAGAGACACAATTGCCTGGATCACGACCATTTGCTATGTGAGCCATTTCTAGAACTAGGCCACCATTTGATAGAATGTCCCACTAGAAACTCAAGTTAAAAGCTGCAAATTAGCATAATATTCTAACAGAAAAAAAATTATTCAATTATCCAAACAAAAGGCTTGAAAAAATGATTGAATTCTCCATTGGAAGCTCAATGTACCTCACTTCGAGAGTTCTCATCCCTTAGGAAATCGAATACCCTTTTTGGTGGAACCGGGATCCAGAACGAAGTTGCAGCACTAAGCACAATACCAGGAGGCCTGCCTGGATCATCCATACTCTTCCGGGTCATAACCCGAACATCATCGGAACCTGTTCCCGACAGAGTTGTCCAAGCATGGGCCGTAGAAGCACCGACACCGGTACAAAAGCTAGTCACCATCCTCTCTGCCAACTTCAACATACTCTTCCTCCCTTCCATGCTTGTTATAACTGCGGAATATCAGTAAGAATCCGAAATGGTAACACCAATGACACATGAATAAAATGCTAAATAATGTTTTACCGCATAGATCCCCTGCTGGAATGTTACTGGCCATTGAACTCGCAAGACGTTCACACTGTCGATCCAATGTGGCCACCCAGCGTTTCGCTCCAAAAGCTAGACCGGAGTTAACTACTGATCTGTATAAGTTGTGGACTGCTCTATCATCCACTTCTACATGCTCAACCCATATAACCTGAAGTACCACAAAAAAATGTCATGATATTATATATACACACACATATGAATTGAAATATAGATCAGGGTTTCAAATCGCGGTTGCTGTCGCGGTTTCGGTTATTTCGGATTTACCGTGATTGCGGCCGTGCCGGCGCTATTGCGGCCGTTGCGGGTAACTCGGACAACGGCAAAACCGCTATATGGCCGAAATCACGGTCGCGGACCGTTTTTTAAAACCCTGATTATAGAGTAACATACCTTAGAGTATCCATTCGGCAATTCTTGAATCAAACAACCTGATGGTCTTCTTCTATATTTCAACGCCGGATTAGGGCGAAAATTATCCAAGGAAACATCAACTACTGCCCAAGTTCCGTCAATATGCTGCTTACAGTACCTCACGAAGTAATTTTCCCTGCTTGGAACAAGTGGTGAAGGGACTTGAAACTCAGCCGTCATCTGAAAATGCAAGATATCAGGCATGTTTTAAAAACTTAAGGCAGAATTGAAAAGAAAAACAAGATCGAAGTGCTCATTACCACTTGCAAAGCTCCATTATAGTTTCCTGCAACACCAGTTGATAGGACTTCTAAAGTCATAGCCCTTGAAACAATGCCGCAAAACACACTTGACCATTGGTTCTGAAAATCAATTACTTTAATTAGTGTGGGGTGAATCTAAAAGTTTATATTATGGACCCTAAACTTGGAAACAAAATCCTACCACGTCCATGAGAATCTCAACTAGGTTGACATGATTCATAATGACAACTGCAGATTCCTTTGAAGCTTCATGCCTCAACCCCAAAGGTTTTGGTCCAGTTGCCCTAGGGAAAGTTCTTAAATATTCATCTTCGTTCAACACATCTGTAGAATTATCCCCAGGAACCCACAAAGGTTCACCAGATTGAGCCAATCGGATCAGTTCCTCCATTGCAGCAACTGCTAGCTCAACAATCATAGGTTTTTCCGCTTCTGTAGGCACAGAGACAGACCTTAGAAGATCACCAGTACTGCGATCCATTTCGCCTACGAACCCTGATTGTGTCCCGAAATTGCTAACTCCAAGATCTACGGAGCGTGATTGTAAGTGAGAAGAAAGGTGAGGATAAGAAGATAAAGGCTTGCCAACATATTTAGCAGCTATTCCAGATATCCTATCAATCTGTAATAGAAGAACACAGAAACCTAATAAGCAAAAAAAGAAAAAGTAACTTGATAATAATACACAAGGGACGTGTGTAGCATTTTTCAGTCACCTCTTCCTTTAACCGAGCATTTTCAATTCTCAAATGCTGCTCATCAAATGACATCTCGCCAAGGGCAGCTGGGCCTCCACAGCTGGGGCAGGTGGCATTGCTGAGAGCTTCCTTGTACCTATTGTTCTCCGCGCGGAGCTTTTCATTCTCAGCTTTCAATATAGCATTTTCATTGCGTTCATGCTGGGCCTGTTAATGAAGGTAAAATTCAGCAGTTAAACTAGGATAAGAAATCTTACTACATAGACATGGATATTTACCTTCATTTGGGTGCGCTTGTTTTGGAACCAAAACTTGACTTGTAGTGGCTCTAACCCTAGCTCACGGCTAAGCTCCTTCCTTTGCTTATCATCAGGGTGAGGACACTCCTTAAAGAATCTGAGCAACAAAGAATAAACAAATCCAAAAAAATCAATTCTTCAAAGATGAACAAGGGCAGATATTGTATGTAATATCGCTTTCACAACATAAAAGCACAGTTATTAATAGAAAATAAATCACAATGTAACGTGCACAACATCCACATTTGAGTACTACGATTATATGAGAAGAAAAAGAAAAGGACTACGCTTCCATGTCCTGGATTTGACGCTGTGTATGACGATGATAACGCTTCTTCTTGGGGCGTTGGTTAGGATCATGATCATCACCGGATGGAGCATCCATGGTTTCAGTACCAGATTTGATCTCATAATCATCATCCCTGACATTCCCCATTAGTTCACTTTCGTTGGTCTTATGAACCATGTCGAACATATGGGAACTATCGAATAAGCTGGGGCTAAACATGCTACCGAAAAAAACGTGGACGCCTATGGAGTTTCTGGATTCTGCCAAGACAACATAACTCAAGCTAAGTAAAATAAAGGGGGGGAATGGGTGAAAGAAACAGTAGTTCAAAGGGAACCGATGCTAGTGTATAATTAAGTTGAAAAAGCTTTCTTTTCATGGAACATTTACCTTATAGATTAGAGCAGCAATTTTCTCGTCTTAAATGCATCAGTGGTCATTGGAAACATACAGAACCGATGACTTTTTAAAACCCTAACCAGCTACCTACCCGTACAAGTTACACATATCTGTCTCCTTTGCTTGTTAGATTCTCGTCTTCGGGTTCCTCATTGGTGGGGTATTATTAGGCTGATTTGATTGAAACCAAAAACCTTTAAACACTTGTTTTGTACGCTCTCTTAACTAAATACATGAAACGAAGAATGGGGAACTGTTAACATCAAAGCTACGCTCCTACACACAAAACGAAAAGATTGTTGAGAAAGATTATTGGAAAGAGAGGGTTTTTAAGAGTTTGGGGTCACTGGGAAAATCGCAGTGGTGGAGGGGGGAAAATAAAGAGAAATGAAGAAACGTATAGAGAGGATGTAGCAGCTAAAGGAGTAAATTGGAGAGCTCATACAGAGGGTGTAATGGCATTTATGGTTGGTGGGAGCTTTAATGGCTAGTGATATCGAAAAAGGAAATTACAGAAACAGAAAAAGGCATCTTCCCCTTCCCTTCCCTTCCCATTCGTTTAAATATTTGCTTCTATTTTTTTTCTGTTTTAAATACTCTATCATGATTAAATATAATATTTATTTATAATTTAACTAAATCATTAATGATAGTCATATATATATATATATATAATAGATGCAACTGTTTGAATTTAGAATCAATTAAAAATAACAGTTTTTTTTTTAACTATTAAAGTTATTCAATGGGTTAAATTTATTTGATAATCTTTTAGCTAGGTTTTTTACCCTGGATTCAATAACGATAGTTTTTGTTAATTACTTCTAATAACCATGTATATTAATTAATTATAGATTATTTGATCGTTGAAATTTAAATATTTTAAATGAAATAAAATGAGGATTGTACCAATAAGATATTATTCGATATGCGTATTAATTAACTACCTACTCTCAAATTATAGCTTCTTTAGAAGGAATGGAATATATTTTTAGAGCAAATTATATTAGATATTATTAAATTATAGTATTGTATTAAATTTATCATTGAATTATAAATTGATACGATTGTAGCATTAAACATTAATTTTACATATAATTATATCTTTGAACTGATAAGTGATAAACAAAGCGTTGCGATGGAAGATAGTTTCTTTTAATGTGATGACGTGGTCAATATGATATGGATATATCGATCTTCAAAATGATGTCATTTTTAGTAAGATTTATATTAAAACGTTCATATTTCACTCATCTTTCTTCTCCTCGATTGGTTTTTCTCAAAATCAACTAAAATATATTTAAAGGTTCGACGTGCTAATGCTACGATATTATCCAATGATTGTGCTAATGCTACGATAGTATCCAATGATTGTGCAATAATGCTACGATATTTTTATTTAATTTCTCGAGTTTTAAAGATGTTTTTGAGAAAATTCAAACTGTAAAAGTGGTAAAGGACGAACAAAGGAGTTAATCGGTGTTTAAGATGGCAACAAAAGATGTAGGAGAATGACAGCCTTTAATGATGAATAAAGATGAATGAAAAAATCTTTAACTTTGATGAAAAAGATGATGACGTGAAATAAAAAAAATATTTTTTGATTTCCACGTTAACATCATGTTAGCACCAAACTATCATATCATTCCGATACTAATAAATCAACAATGTAATGATATAATTACACGTAAGACTAAAATTTATAATTTAATGACAAATTCAATATAAAAACTAAAATGATATGGTAACCGGTGTAGTTTACCCAATATTTTAGCACAGGGTTTTCATCTCAAACCTTCGGTGACATTACTGAGTCTAAAGAAATCAGGCTGTTTCTGCATCTGCAGATTTCAGAAGCATCTTATACATCATGTGGATACATGCATGCATCCATTACATAATGCATGCATGTCTAGCAAAATATGGTGAAAATCTCATAATTTTCAAACAAAATTCAGTCATGTCTCTTTCTTAGAAATATATGTATACAATATAGTCATATCCAGTCGGTATATGAATTAATTCGACCGGTCTGTTTTATGTTTTAATTTTTCATTATAATGTTCCTTTTCTTGCGCTTCATTAATTATCGACAACGAAAGGGTCTTGTGCATGACAAAAGCAACAGCTCAAAAAACGATAAAATGTAATGTAATTTTCTTTCTTTTTTCTTTTTTTTATTAAACTAAAGGTGATTATAAAGTAATATTTGTTTTAATTACTCTTAATTATTTGACAATGAATATTCAATCATCCTTGCAGTCCCTGGTGCTCGAATTTGTGACCTCTATGAACAACAATAATTTCTTTAACCGCTAAAATAAGTTAGTTCGTATGTTATTTTCTCTTTTGATATTTCAATATATATATATATATATATATATATATATATATATATAAAGTTAACATTTCCTAAAAATATCAAATAATTCTTTTTTATGAGATATGAACTTTAACGTGATTCAATAAAGAGAAAACCATATTCCATATACAATTAAACATAATATATTTTTGGTAAACATGCCTAACTCAATATTGTAATTTTATTATTTTATTTAAATTCAAATTAAACTATTTAACCAACAATAAATCGGTTTAGTGAGATTAGTAACAAATCCATTCAAAGTGGATAAATGTTAATCTTGAAATACCGGATTTTCTTATTAGTTATTAATTTTATTGATTGTACCCAGCTTGAAATTTTATTTGCATTTATCTATATGAAAATTTTGTGTTGTTAATATATGTGAGTCTACTCTCAAAAATATTTCTGGATTCGTCCCAGAGTGGAATGAGACACTAGATTCCTTAAGCAATGTTAGAGGTTTTGAATCCCGACGTCTATGAATGAAGCAAACTGAGTTTGGAGGGTTGTCTCATATTGAGCTTCTGTAGTACTTGATTTGGATTAGTTGATTAAAAGTTTGAATTATTGGTGATTTAACAAAAATATAATAATAACCATTTCAAAATAGTGTTCAATTTATATTAATATAGGTTAAAACTAATAACATTTAAATATATAACTTTCATAAGTTTATTTAAATTTAAAATTAATTAAAATTTATGTATTTAAGTATGTATTTTTTTTATCAATTTATTTAGATTTTTATTTATATAGAAATAAAACCACTAATTTTTTTATTAAAATATACTTACTTTTTTATAAATAAAATATACTTATTTAAGTAATTATACTTTTAAGTTTATTTAAGTTTACTCAGGATCTAGTCAATGTGGTAAATAATTATAAATAAGAAACTTTAAATTAGTAAAATGTTTAGTAAATTATTAATATATTAAAACTACTAAATAAAAGATTACATTAACGTATCAATAATATTGTAATAAATAATGAATAACATGATAGTCAACAATTCATAACAAAATCATAAATAATAATAGATCAGATCATAGGTATAAATTTCATCATTGAAACATCAAAATTTGAACAAACTATTAATAAGTTTTTGTACATTTACAAATGACATCATTATATAAAATCGATTTACGTTTAAAATTATATTAAAATGATGTTATTCAATGTTATACAAAATGATATAATCTACATATTTATTCATGATTTTGTTAGCATTGTAAAAAATTATAAACTACAAGTCATATAAACTTTTATATATGTATTTGCTAAGTAGTAGAGACATGCGTGTGAGACTAATATGTGATCTATCGTGCTACGTTTCATGTTAAATGATTTAAATTTTGGTGCCACGATTATGTTCAACCTGTTTGAATTATCTATTTTATGTAGTAACAATAGAGTAGTGAATATTGTTGAGCTTAGTAAAGCACAACGTTCATAATTATATTTTTATGCTTATATCATTAGTTTTGGTGTTCGAATTTAGGCATCGATATTATCAAAGGAGTTTCAGTAGTTTTTGATTTAGAGCACAAACTTTATTCTCTTTAGTGAGCATGCATAATGCATTATCGTTTGATAAAGTCGTTATGCGTGGAGAAGGTCATCCTGCAACGCCAAAAAAATTGATACCTAGATGAAAGATACATGTATCGAGAAAAAAAAATATTAGTGGTGCTAATGATAATTAGTTATTATGTATGAAAAATGATGTTAAACAGTAAATGTAAAAGAAAATAATCAAACAAATCAATTAAAATATAAAGACTAAATTATAAGAAGACAAACTTATAGAGGCCAAAATGATATTTAATTCTAAAAGATAACTATATTGAATGAAATTAGAAGTTAAATGACCAAAATAAAAATAAATTACCAAACAAAAAAGGACTACATCGAAAAACATATTAAAAACATAGAGACCAATGGAGGAATTTAGAGAAATGAGCAGATCCGAGGGAGGATCGGGTCATAAGTCAATTTTCTTCAAAATAACGCCGTTTTGGGGTCATAGGTAAGTTTACTCAAAACGACAATTAAGTCGCCGCATAAGGTGACACCTTAAAAGAGAAATTAAATAATCATTTTAAAGAGAAACTTAAGATTTTTTTTGAATATATTAAAAAATAAATTCAAGTTTCAAATATTCACAAAACAATATACTTATTAAAATCCAACCATATCTTGCCAATTAAAATTTCAGAAAATTTCTAACAACAAATTTAAAAGGATTCATTAAATAAAAGTAGCATGTTCCATATACGATTAAACATATGTATGTTTTTGGTCAACATGCTTAAGTTCAAAATATTAAGCACGATTAATCATGCTGCCAAAGGTGTAAATGAAACATGAACTTTTAATCAAGTATTTATTCAATTCATATTTTCCGGTTTACTTTCATTCATTATAAGAAAATATTATTTCGATAAGAGAATCATTATATGTTTACTTGCAATAAATTCCAATTCTTTAATGCCATGTGTTTTTAAAAATTAATGTTTCTGTTGATCTAATGACTTGATGGAAAATTTTAATAAAATTTTAAAATTAATTTTATTAAATAAAAATATTTTACTCCATTTTACAATCAATTTTCTTTCGACTTCAAATCTCCCATTTGTCTAAAACTCATTTTCTTAGGGTTATCGGCTTTTTTTCTCTCTCTAAACCATAAAGATCACTGTTTTTTTTATTTTACAAGTAATGTCACTAATTTCAATGTTGGTTGTTGATCGTCTGTATTTTTTGTTTCTCGTTTATTTTCTTATATCAAATATTTACATTTTTTTAGTTTTTAATAATTATGTCTTTATGACATGTTTTTCTCTGTCTTTATAACATATTTTTTATGTCTTTATAACACGTTTTCGGTCGTTTGGTTGTCGTTTT